ACTGGCTACCACTTATAAGATTTCCAGATTAAAGAAATAAAAATAAAAGGTGCCAGTTATACCTTTTTTTTTTTTTAAGGCAGGACCTAAGTCACTAAATTTTCCAGGCTGGGGCTCAAACTTGCAGTGCTCTTGACTCAGCCTCCAGAGTACTTGGGATCACAGGCATGTGCTACCATGCCCAGCTTGTGTATGAATTTTAAATAAACAATAATTGACATATTCTAAACATTTAGGAACCTTTTATAAGCCCCTCCAATCTTGGCAATACCATACCTTCTTCACATGCACAATTCAGACCATTTCTGCTTAGAGTTTAATTTAATTAATTAGTTGGTTGTTTTTGAGGCAGGGTCTCACTGTAGTCAGCCTGGCCTTGAACTCACTATGCAGCCCAAGCTGACCTCAAACTCCCAAAGATCCTCCTGCCTCAGCCTCCTGAGTGCTACGATTACAGGTGTACAACACCACACTCAGCCATTTTTGCCTAAGTTTTAACACTAAATGGGATACTGATTAGATTTATTCTGTTTTTCCAAAAAGATCAACCAGGATCAATGACTGGCAATATTGGAAGGCAAGTATAAGCAACATGAGGGTGGACATTCCCTCTGGCTGGTCTCAGTCAGTACAGATAACCATTTGCCTGTGAGGTTAGAGTGAGTCTTACATTTAGTGGATAGATGAATTTATTAGGTGATTGCCAAGATTCCATTGTTTTACATAAGGTGACCTGAGGATTTAAGATTTCTCTAAATTTATGATTACTAAGCAAGTGCAGAAGATGCATTTTGAGATGAAGATGACAAGTGTACAGGTAAAACTAGAAGAAAATCTTTATACAGATACTTAACAGGCAAAGACATTTGAAATGTCTATGAACACCACTTCCTGTCAGTATTGCGGATGGAGCCTAGGGCCTTGCACATGCTCGACAAATGTGCCATGACTGAGCTACATCTGCAGCCTTTATTATTTTTGAGACAGGTCTTGCTAAATTGCCCAGGCTAAGCTTGTATTTTCCTTCCTCCTGCCTCAGCCTCCCCAAGTAGCTAGGATTACATGTGTGTGTCACCATGCCCAGCTCTAGTTTTTCTTTTAAATACCCATAAGAACACAAAGAAAAATTTCTATTTTTACAAGAAAACTTTTGCTTTAAGTAACATTAGAAAAATATTTACTTTCTATAGATACATAGCACTTTGTCATCTGTAATTTATTAACATCTTTTTTTGTGAAGTGATGGAGACCACTATGAAGTAGCTCTGAGCAGGATTTATATTAACCAATTGGCTTTTCATGTTTACTTGTGAGTCTGCCCAAGGCCTAGGCCCCTTGTCTGGAGATGGGTAGCCTGTAATGGCGGGTGAAGCCATGGCGCCTCAGAGGAAAGACAAGGCCACAGCTAAGGACACTTGGCTCCAACCTTAATGAACTAGATAAAGACTGTAGCTGCTGCTGTACAGATTCAATGCAATTCCCATTCAACTACCATCAACATACCTCACAGATCTTGAGAAAATATGCCTTAAATTCATCTGGAACCAGAAGAGACCCAGAATACCAAAAGCAATCCTTGGCAACAAGGACAAG